AGTACTTGAACAGGACAAACAATATAGGGCCATGGAGGAAACAGCAGGGGAGATGATGGCTTAGTGGTATTATTGCTAGATTATTAATCCAGAGATCCAGGTAATGTTCTGGGGATCCAGGTTTGAATCCCGCCATGGCAGATGGTGGAATTTGAATTTAATAAAAATTTGGAATTAAAACTGGTGACTGTGATTGTTGTCAATTTTCTGGAAAATCTCATCTGGTTTTCTAATGCCCTTGAAGGAAGGAAATCTGTTGTTCTTACCTGGTCTCCATGTCATTTCAGGCCCCCAGTAGTGTGGGCAATTAAGAATGGGCAATATATACTAATCTAGCCAGTGATGCACTCATCTCCTGAATGAATAAAAAAAAGTGGGACTGATTGGGTAGCTTTGTTAAAGAACCGATGGGCTGAATGGTCTCCTCCTATACTCTATAATTTTCAAACTTGACTGTTTCCAAATTAAAACGGAGGATGGCAATTTATAAAAACCCATTGACTTCCTGAAAGCTGGATGACTTTCTTCAAAACCCCATTGTATCTCATCCATTAGACATTAAAGGACATCTGAAGGACAAGAAGATTTCCAGAAACTACTTTTTTTCTTGTATTGCATCTTATAATAGCATCAAGGTTTGCTGAAACTGTAACTGTATCAGGTTGGATCACACATTTGGCATTGAGACAAATACCACATTTATTCTATTCTTATCTTACATCTGTTCTTAATGAAGCCTTCAGATCTTCTTTTAGGGAGGGTGAAGCAGTTAAAATTTTTAATTTTTTTTTTCAATCATGAAGTACATAAATCTTGGAACAATATGGGAGGTGACTGAAGCAGTTGGTGCCATTCCACTGACTGGGAAAAGCTGGCTGTGAATCCCAGACTCCTCTGACAGCTAGTTACTGATTCAGTCTGTTCACCGGCTTGCAGTACTCAGTGGGAACAAGGAAGAGTGAAAGGAAAATTTTGACATGACACTGCATCAACATGGACAAAAATCTTGATACCTGCCAGTGACTGAAGTTACAGAATGTTCACTGTTAACCACTGGTCTTCACAGCCAGTAAGTGATTGACTATGACCCGCTACAAACACAAAAATATGAAAAGCATGCATTTTTGTTTTAACCAAGGTTTCAGATTTATCATCATCCTGTGTTTGTATTCCCACTCACACTCTGTCACAAAGCTGTCTTCATTCTGGATCGTAATGAAACGAGTTATTGCCAGATATCTGCCTGTGTACCCATGTAAGTGATTCATTTGAAGAGCACCACAGACCTACCTGCCCTCCAACCCTGTACTTTTAAACTGCAGCCTATCTCAGCCTTAAAATCTAACCAGTTCTGAAATGCTTCAAGGTTGGAAGAGGCTTGTGTGGAGTGTAAACACTGCTAAAGACCTTTTGAGTCAACTCACCTGTATCTGTGCTGTAAGTTCGATTGTGTTCCTCAGTGTGCTCCTGCACTACTGTCAGCATTGAGCAACTCACTGAAAAGGCACGCCTTTGTCTTGGATTTCAGATGGGTGAGATGGAATGACTTTCCATCAGTTCCAGTCACCCTCTGGAGCTGACTTGGAGGCAACTGTTGGTGTCAGAGACAATCCTGCTAGAGAAACAATCCAGTTCAGGAAAGCATTAGATGATTATTTAAATGGAAATAATGTTTAGGGCCATGGGGAAAGGGCAGGAGAATGGCTCTAAGCTAATGTATAAATTGTCTCGTCCCTTCATCTGCAACTGTTTCAACATTGACCGTCTGATATAAGGTCAGACATGGAGATAGTAGCAGCAATGTGTACTATGTACAAGATGCACTGCAGGAATTCACCAAGGCTTCTCTGTCAGCATCTTCCAAGCTCACAACCTCTACCACCTACAAGGACAAGGGTAGTAGATACATGGAGACACCACCATCTGAAAGTTTCCATGGAGCAGGTTTAAAGTCACACTTGTGGAATATGCCTGGAGGATCTCAAGGCGTGGTTTTGGAGTTTATCAACATCAGCTGTATCAGCAATCCATACTTCCTGGCTTTATGAAATGATTCGTTGGTTTTACCTATCCTGAATCTAGAATGTTGATACTACAACTTTTTTTTTTTCCCCTGTTTACGGGAATGGCAAAGTGTTTAGCTGAATAATGCCAACATGTTTATGAATCTTTTTGACTTTGGCTTTCAAGACAAAAGTTGAGATAAAAGCGAAAATGAAAACTCCGGGAAATGACATCAATGAAAGTTATATAGAAGGGAAGATTTATAATTATGACTGTTGTAAGTTCTTTATATTGAGGTGTTTTCAAAGTGAAGTCGCTGTTGTAATGTGGGAAGCTTGGCAGCTAAGTTACTCACAAGATCCCACAGATGGTAGTGTCATTCTAAGCAGAATTTTTATTTTTCATTTATTTGGCTCGATGGATATACATAGGCCATTTTTGTCGATTTGAAATACGTGCTCATAAGCACTTCCTTGATATTGTGCTTGCATTTTGTGCTCAAGCTTTTGGATTTGGCCTTGAAACCATAACCATTAACATTAGAGTTCTGATTAATTAACTGATCTGGAGACGGTGAAATACTTCACAACACCTCCATAAGGAAGTTCCAGCTGAGAAGTTCCATTGAGAACTTTCTTATCCTACCACCAGTGAAGGCCCTTAAGTGGTCAATTGCCAGACACTTGAAGGCCTCAACTCACCATTTCTCCAAAGAAGGGTAGTTAGTTTCCTGACAGGGACGATGTGCCTGCTATTTTGGGGTGGGGGTACAATTAGCGACATGGATAGTGGGCAAAGGAGTGGATCCCGCAAGATGTAGGCTTCATCCAACAACCTTTAGGACTCGGGGCTGCCAGCCTCTGATTACCCAGAAGCTTCTGGCAACCTCGTGATGCCAATATCAAGGCTGGTGATAGGTCTAAGCTGTCCCTGTCAGATGTTATGAGCTGGCTGTCATATGATGGGCTGCGTTAGCTTGGCAGTGGGGACGGAGTGTTAGTCTCCAACAAACAAGCTCACACCCAGACTTAGTTGCAGAAACGGAAAATTGCATTGAGTGTAAAAACTGCCTGTAAACTATAATTCTTCTTCCTCTTGTTTCAGAGCTGTGGTGGTGTCTTGTCAGGAATACCTCGGTGTCACCTACATAACTGTCAGTGAAGATTCCAATCCTCGAATGATCATCCACAACAGATGCACCGTTGCAATCATGATGAAAGAAAATCTGAAAGGTAGAGCCATGATTTAATATCTCTGAGCTGTAGTTGCTATTTGTTGAAGCATTGTACTTTAATTCTTGGAGATAACCAGTTTGACTTCAATGCTGGAATGTGGAAGAGGCAAAAGCCAAGTGCCATAATTACAAGATAGGTATGAATAAATTCATGGATAAATACTGGAGTCACATCAATTGGTGTATGAATTGATTGAAATATGATGCTGCTTGGCCTGCTGTGTTCATCCAGCCCTGCACCTTGTTGTCTCTAGTTATTGCTTGCTCTTGTTTCCATTGATTTTCGATGGTATGGTGATAAAGTCGGCAATATTACCAATTTTGAAAATCAGCCAAGAGGTAGGAACTCAATTCTGCTGAACTGGAAAAATAGAGATTTGTTTCTTTCATTATACTGCCTGACTGTTCCGACTTCTGTGCTGTTTTCAATGATTGAGTTGTGTACCTATAGAAATAACAGATAGGCACATAACATTTGTCCCAAATGTTCGGTGTCAACTTCGATCCTCTACATAAACCTCCTCACGCTTGACTTCATCATTGTCCTTCAACATTATCACTCTGTTCTTTTCTCTCTCTTACTCATCTTATATTCACAACATATTTCTCTTCATTAAATTATTGTTTTCTTTCTGTTGTTTCAGATGCCCCAAAATGTGCAGTTTATTGTCGAAAAATTCCCGCTGAGTGTTCAGTGCACCATGAACTTTATCATCAAGTTTGGAGCTTCCCCGAATGCAAAACTGAAGACCACCTTCCCAGCATCCACCTCAGAATGGTATCCCCATCTGAGCTGTCTGAGGATTGGAGCGATGTCATTGATCTGAATAGTCCTGGGACTCAGGTAAGATGTCCCACTTTTGTTTTATCATTGTTATATGATTCCCTGTCATAGAAGCATTTTGTTTCAGTTTGTGTGATTAACGAAAGGAGTTACATTCTACTTTATGGGATTCACATTATGTGCTTTGATGTAGATTTGGATAAAAACATACAAATTGGAAGCTGGCTTGGCCCATTCATTTCCTGGAGCCTGCTCCACTATTCAATAAGAACATGACTCATCTGATTATGACCTTAACTCTACTTTCCTGTCCGCCCCCATAAGCCCCATTAACTATTTTTAAGGCGGATGTAGAGAGATTCTTGACTAACAAGGGAGTTGAAGGCTATCGGGGGTAGGCGGGAATGTGGAGTTGAGGCCTCAATCTGATCAGCTATGATCTGATCAAATGACAGAATAGACTTGATGGGCTGAATGGCCTATCCCTGCTCCTAAAACACGTTTGTTAGGTCGAGGGTTAGCACTGTTCATAAAGGTTGGTCACTAGTTAGAGATGACCTTGTTTCAGGAGTTCATGGTGGAAGATCGATGGGTGGAGACGAGGGGAAAGATTTCCCTGTTGGAGACGGTCTGCAGGCCCCCTAGTAATAACCACGATAACCACAAATAACCAGAGCAGATTATACAAGAAGTAACATTTGAGGCTTGTGATAAAGGCAATAATCATGGGTGACATTAATCTACATATAAACTCGAAAACTCAGATTGAAAGTAGTATCTTGGATGAAAAGTTCACAAAATGCTTTTGACATAGTTTCTTAGAGAAGCACATTTTGTAACTGCCAAAGAGGGTAAATTAGCCTTGGTATTGTGTAATGTGATAGGATGAATAAATGACCTTAAAGTAAAGGAACACACAGAGTACAGCAACTACAATTTGATTGAATTTTGCATCCAGTTTGCAAGGGAGAGATTAAGTCTAAGTCCAGTGTATTACACCTAAATACGTACAACGATGTCAGCGTGAAAGCTTAAATAGTTGAAGTGAACTGGGCTACGGGTTAGATCAATACACATATATTACCAGCCCTTTAAGGGGATATTTGAGATTCCTCAGGTTATGTATATTTCTGATATAAAGAAATATTCTAAATGGAGAACCCATCATCCCTGGTTATCAAGAGGTCTACAGCAAAGAAAGAGGCTCTTTGGTCTATTGCTTCTGCACCGATCCAAAGGTCAGAAGAGTTATCCAAAGATGTCAGGAAAGCGTCAAACTTAAGGAAAATGCATATAATTGCATAAAAATGAGAGGTGGTGTGAGACTATATGGGCCGAATGACCTGGATCCACACTGTAGAGATTTTATGATTTAATGAAAAAGGAGTAGCAGCTCAGATGATTGGTCAGACTATAAAGAACAGCAAAGAGTGCCTGAAAGGTTTATCAGGAAAAAGAAATTAGAGTAATGACATGCAGCTAGCCAGAAATGTAGGGATTATAACACAAACGTGATCAGCCTCCAGCCTGACACTGTTAGTAGGGAGGAGTTGATACTCATTTATTCCTTTTACGAGAAATGGCAATTTGGTCAAGGTGCCACTGACCAATTGCCATCTGTGGAACTACTTCCCATAATAACTTTCATTGGAAATATTTCAGACAACGTTCACTAGGATGATCCCTGGTATGGAGGGATTGTCCTATGAGCATAGGCTTAACAATTGGAGACTCAACTGACTGGAGTTTAGAAGAATGAGAGGTGACCTCTGAAACATATTGGATCATGAGGAGGCTTGAAAGGGTAAATGATGAGAGGATATTTTCCCTCGTGGGAGAGTCTAGAACCAGAGGGCATCATCTCAGAATAAAGGGGCAACAATTTAAGACTGAGATGAAGAGCAATTTCTTCTCTGAGGGCTGGGAGTCTTTGGAACTCCTTGCTACAGAGAGCTGGGGGTGGGCATGGTGGGCAGAGCCCTTGTGTCTGTTTAAGGCTGAGATAGATTTTTGTTCGGTCGGGGAATCGAGGTTAACAGGGAAAGCGCAGGAAAGTGGACCTGAGTTTTGGAACAGCCATGATCCTATTGACTGGTGGAGCAGGCTCAAGGGACCACAGGCCTATTCCTGTTCCTAGTTCTTTCTGGTCTTATGGTCTTAAATCCAAAGAGAAAACACTCCATCTCTCACCTGAGGGTTTTACTTAACAGTTCACAAAAGTGACCTACACCCATAAAGGTCTACTTCAAATTCCAGCCTCTCCATAGATATATATATGTAGTATTTATATTTAAATAACATCCTTTTTGCATACTTGTTTTTCACTCAATAATATGCAAAAATGAAGACTTCAGCCAACATCACTGGTTACTGTTTGGGAAGTGATAGCAAAGTTGATTTGCCTGTTCTGTACTCTTACATGTACGTAGCACTTGGCCCGGTCCTTTGTGGGTCTATACAGCTCAATACTGAACCCCAGAAAACTATTAAGGGACAGTCTATTCGAGAGATTACTGTTTGAGATCTCTGTTTTTGCTTGAACAAAGCTGATTAATTTTTTTTCACTGGAATCTTCATTGAAGAAGACATTTTTTTCCGCTAACTGAAGCATACAGATTAATATCAAAAATTCTATTTGAGATTTGTTTGTTTTATAGTGAATTCTATTCATGAAAAATAATGAAGATTTGCACTGCTTATCAATTTCAGTTGATAATATTTAGACAAACACGTGTTCTAACTCCATCATTCAGCATGCAAAACAGATTAGGCGACTGCTGAAGGGTTTAGCTTTAAGAATAAATAAAGCTTTCTTTTATTGAATCATATTTTGTTCCCTGCTTGTCTCTACTTAGGTGGTGTTTCTGCCCGGTTACGGCTGTGTGTATGTGGATATCAGTCATCTTTCCAGCACTATAACTGTGACCATGGTTCCAGAGGGTAGAGCTGGCCCTGTCCTAACCAGCCTTTATGGGTAATTATCCACATGCTTTCCGGATAGATTGCAGATTGTGAGCTACAGAAGAAGATTGATAGTATTGTACTGCTGAAATGGAGACTATTTGTTCCTTTGTGACTGTGCTGGCTCTTTGATATACCATTAGTGTCTACTTAGTCTGCAATTTCCCCACAACCCTGCAATTCTCGTTTTACTTCTCAATTGTTAATCCAGTTCCCTTTTGAAGGTTATTGTTGAATTGGCTTCCACCACCCAGAAACACAAGTTCAGAGCAAGAATGGGCCATTTTGCCCATCAGGCCCATTCTGCCATTCGACTTGGTCATAGGAAGGCGATGGCTTAGTGGTATTATTGACAGGTTGTTAATGTGGAGACCCAGCTAATGTTCTGGGGACCCGGGTTCAAAACCTGCCATGGCAACTGGTAGAATTTGAATTCAAGAAAAATCTGGAATTAAGAGCCTCATGATGCCCATGAATCCATTGTGGATTGTCAGAAAAACACATCTGGTTTAGTAACGTCCTTTGGGGAAGGAAACTTCCTTCCTTACCTGGTCTGGCCTACATGTGACTCCAGACTCTTAACTGGACAATTAAGGGTATTCAATAAATGCTGCCTAGCCAGTGATGCCCTCATCCCTAGAATGAATTAAAAAAGGTGATTCCCTATCACACCATTCTCCTACTCTCTCTCCATACCCTTTGACATTTATAGCCTCGTGAAATGTACTTGGCCTTCACACAGCCTTCCATGGTAGAAAATTCCACAGGTTCACCACACTTAGAATGAAGAAATTTCCCCTCATCTCAGCTTGAATTGGTGTACTGTGTATCCTGAGAAGGTGTTGACCATAAGAGGGAACCTTCATGACAAGTTCAATGGGCTGATCATCAGCCCGGAAATCTTTCCACTTTAAGACCATAAGACATAGGAGCAGAAATTAGGCATTTGGCCCATTGAGCCTGCTCCACCATTCAATCATGGCTGATAAGTTCCTCAACCCCATTCTCCCACTTTCTCCCTGTAACCCTTGATCCCCTTGATAATCCCAGTATCCCCTAAACAGGGTGATAAAATTATGTAAGATAAGTTAAGGGACAAAAACCTTACCATGTGGTAGCAAATTCCATTTTCTAACCACTCTCTGGGCAGAGAAATTTCTCCTGAATTCTCTGCTGCATTTATTAGTGACTATCCTAAATATTTTAAAAAATTTGTCATCTCCTCACCAAGTTTTTATTTTGTGAATAATAATTGCCTTCAGGTTACTTGCTCTCCACTTCCATTGCAAATAGTAAACTAAGACCTTACTTGAACAATGCAAACTCCTTAATGCCTGATTTTAAATTCTTCCAAGTGAGCAGAACGTAGCCTGGGTGAGCACTGGGATCCATGTGATGGAATGAAATTATATGACACCCCATTCTTTTGGCATCAGAGACAAAAGAGTTTTTAGTACAGTTTATGGAGTACTCTTAATGTTTCAAATCTTAAATTGTGTAAATATTGAGCAGGTACTGGAAATAAAACTGAAGGATATGTTTTGCTTATTAATTCAAAATAGACGTTAAACTGATTAACATTGACAGTTACTGATGAAAAGCACTTTTTCAAATTATTTTTGTACAACATTTATTTTTGACTCAGGCTTAAATATTCTGATACTTGGATCTTTTTTAACCGAAAGTTAACACTCCAAAACCAATCAAAATAATGATAGATCTGTGATTTACAGTAAAACATTTGCGTAGTTGAAATATACAGATGCGAAAGATGCCAACTCCTAAACAGCTCACAGCAACACTTAGTTCCTTCAGATTTGAAGTACTAAGTACATTTTGCTCACCTTATTTGGAAAGAAAGGGATATAACTGCATTAAAAGCAGTTCACAGAAGGTTCACTCATTCCTGGAACAAAGGATTTTTATAAACCTTACTAATGGGACGTAGACATCACTGCCCAGGCCAGCAATTATTGCCCAACCCTAATTGCCCTTGAGAAGGTGGTGGTGAGCTCATCTTATGAAGAAAGATATAACATCTTCACCTGATATCCACTGAAGTTTAGAAGAATGAAGCGTGATCTTATTGAAACATAAGATCCTGATGGGGCATGATAGGGAGGAAACTGGAAAGATGTTTCCTCTTGGAGAGGGGACTAGATCAAGCAGACACAGTTGAAGAGTAGGAAGTATTCTTTTTAAGGAGGAGTTGTGAATCTCTAAGTTGGTCATTAGTCTATGGATTTTCATTTCCAAGAAAGTAGTGGAGGGTGAATTATTGAATTTATTCAAGGCTGAGTTATATAATTTTTTTTAATAGACAATAAAGTCAAGGGGCAGGAGAAGCAGACAGGATTGTTAAGTTCAGACCACAACCAAATTAATCATGATTGTATTGAATGGTGGAGCAGGCTTGAAGGGCTGATGTTCGATTCCTGCTCCTAAATCTTTGTTCCAGTGTACCATACAACCATATCTTCAAAGTTACTCCTGCACTTTGAAATTTGCGAATGTGTTGCTGCAGTTTTTGTCCCAGGAGCCTGCAATGGTTGAATTTCTCATCCTTACATTATAGAGTTCCCTTCTGATCACGATGGCAGAGAAAGAAGCAGACAAAATAGTAGACCAGTCACCTGATAGTAATAAACTTGAATATTGATCTAAAAAGAGACATGTTGCTGAAGCACTTCATCATGGACTCATCAGGATAAATGTAGGAATGGCAAATTTCAAATGGTCACAACAATTTACGATACAGGAAAAATAGGGTGTTCATTGTTTGGCAGTTCAATTCTGATTGGCTTCAGCAATGGCATTGAGAATGCAAGAGGAAAGAAGGGGCTGCCCAAGCTTCCAGGCAATTTAAACAAAATGCAATGCTTGAACATATTTCTTTAGTTTGCTGAGAGTAAGTCCCTGTGCATGAATGTATGTTGCTTCTCAAGCCACCACATTTGAGTAAAGGCAATAAATACTGATCTTGCTGGTAATGCTCACATCCTGTGAAATAATTTTAAAATAAGTTTGGAACAACTTGCCTCAAATAGCATTAGTAACAAAATGAATTGGAGATGTTCACAGTACAATGGATGGGTACGTACAAATATTTGGAGTAATTGGTTAGTACGTTGAAGCTTTCATAGGTCCATTGTATCTGCTTAAGTGCCATTTGGTGGTTAAAAATCAACCCCAGGACAAATGACGCTCCATTGAGCAAAATGGACAATTATCTTTCGCATTACTTTAGGAAGTAGAGAATGTATGAAAAGGAATAGGCAATTCAAAACCTGTTCTACCTCCATTCATTTGAGTTCTTGTCTGATGTGTGACCTAAATCCATGACCTTTGCTCCATATCTTTGATTAACAATCTCATAATAATCTGTTATAATAATCTATCATCACCTGTGTCATTGTAGTAAAGAGCTCCAAACTTATACCACACTTTGTGTCTAGAAATCTTTGCTGATATCACTGCTAAAAGAGCTGGCTATAACCTTTTTCCCTTGATATCTTGAAAGTTTAAAAAAAAGTTACTCCTACAAAATACGTGATAGGGTTAGGGTTAACTCACCTCTAATGTAACACTTGGAGGCAGGAATAATTCTGGCATCATTGAACCTGTCCTGCCATTCACTGTATCATAGCTGATTTGTACTTCAAGTCCATTTATTCATATCACCGATACCTAATATATGTCTGTCTTTCTCAGACTAGAAAATTTCATTTATCCTTCGCCATCCACAGCATTTTAGCAGAGGGAATTCCAGATTTCCACCACCCTTTGTGTGAAAAATGTTTGCCGATTTTAACTTTAAATGGCAGCACATACATTTTAAAGGTGGTCCCTTGTTCTGCATTTTGCCTTGGAAGAAACCATTTTAAGCACCTCATCTATCTCTAGTTTCTAAACTCGAGGGAATACAAATCCAGTTTATTCAGTCTGTCTTCATAATTTAATCTTTTGTAGTTTGATAGAATTCTGCTCAATCTGTGCTGGATCCCTTCCAAAGTCTGTACAAAACTAGTGAGGGGTGGTGCTGCCTAAATCTGAGCACAGTACTCTATATGGATCTTGACCGTGGATAATGAAAGAAGGTTTCCCTTAGTGGGAAGGACTAGAATTAAGAAGCACAATTTACTAATAAGGGGTCAGACAGGGATGAGAAGAATCTTTGTTTGTGAATCTTTGGAGCTGTCTTCCCCAGGTGGAGGCAGAGACGTTGACTATTTTTAAGAAAGGTAGATAGACTCTCAATAAAAAATGGAAGAACTGCAGATGCTGGAAATCAGAAACAACCAGAAATAGCTGGAAAATCTCATCAGGTCTGGCAGCATCTGTGGAGAGAAATTGGAGTTAATGTTTTGCGTCCAGTGACCCTTCCTCAGAACTCCATAGACAGAGTCTTGACTAACAAGGAAATCTAACGGTATCAGAGAAAGGTGGGAAATGATGTTGAGCCACTGTCAGGTGAGCCATGATAATAATGAATGGCAGAGCAGGCTCAATGGAACCGACTCGCCAAATCTTGCTCCTAATTCATATATTTATATGACCAACAGAAGCATAACTTGCCAATCTTTGTGTTGAACCTGATTGATATAAAGACCAACAATTCGCGAATCTTTCTGATTATATCTGGCAAAATGATTTGCCTTTAATGATGTCTGTACCTGGGATACCCAAGTCCCTTTCCTCCTCTGTTGTTCTCTCTCACTCACCATTAAAGAAATATTTATAGAGAAGACAAAATGAGAGAGCATTGGAATAATCAATCTGTAGGTGACAAAGATACCAACACTGTCATTTCTTCTGACACTACAGGGGTATTTCACCTTGTGGCTTCACCAGGGACAAATTAATGCAAGCCCAACTCAACTGCTGACCTGGGACATCTGAGCTATCCAGCTACCCAATAGTCATCTGGTTTTGCTAGAAAGCTGCTTAGGGGCTTTTGGCATTCAAGATTAAAAAAATAGTTTGTGGCTGCTAGGCTGAAAATGGTTAAAATCCAGAAAGATGACAATCTTTATGAATAAGTGGTCTGATCCTTATTAACAGGCTCATGAGAAACAGTTCAAAGGGCTTTGTGCACAGTGTTTGAGAAAACTGCACTTAACATTTCCTATTCATTCTCAGGAGAATTCTCTTAAATGTTTTAAGAATCGCACAGTGACAGATGAATTGCATATCCTTAGTCTTTTGAGACTCTTAAAAATGCTCCTTGCTTGTTGCATTTGTGCAGCGCAGACAAATTTTAACCTTGTGTGGTTTTCTGTCTTTTTTTTCTCTCGCACAGGACACCGAAACAAGCCATTGCAATGAGAGTGCTGATTACTCAAGCGAGTCTGACGATAAACGACGATGTGACCAATCATCGTAAATCGTCGGAATTGCTGAGGCTGACACTGGACAATGTTCTGTTGAATCTCTCACCAGTGGTGAACCATGCCAGGGCACCATCGCGGGACTTCCGAGCTGAGCCCACTGTTGGAATTGCAGAACTTTATATGCTCGAGGTGTGCATGGGGGACTTGCAGATCGACAACCAACTTTACCACCAGACCAGCTTTCACTTCCCTGCTCTGCTTTGCCAGGAGCTGAAACCAGAAAGACCACAATGGAGAAATGGCTCCCATTCGACTCTCTCGGCCAGGGACCTTGATGAGTACAAACGCAATTGTTTCTTAACAGCCTGCATCCTTTTGAGAGAGCAGAATTTTGCCTTCACCATGAATGAACTAGACTTTGAATTGAAGCCTGCAAGACTCTATGTGGAAGACACGTTTGTATATTACATCAAGACTCTGTTTAGTACCTATATCCCAGACGGTGGTCTATATCAAAAACAAGTGAGAACAACTTCCTGCTCAGCAGCTGACCTGCCTGTGCCAGAGCAAGTAGTCATTGCCACTCAAGCACTAGTGAACCCCATCAAATTGCAGCGGTTGACCATCCATCCCATCAGTTTGCTCGTCAGTGTCCACGCCTCAATAAAATTATACATCGCCTCGGATCATGCTCCTCTTTCATTCTCTCTCTTTGAGCGAGGGCCTATCTACACCACTCCCAGGCAGCTTATCCATGCACTTGCCATGCACTATGCTGCAGGAGCATTATTCCGAGCAGGTTGGTACAGCTACTATCGGGTTGACATTTCCATTCGGTGGCTCACAGTGGTTACTTGGGTTAAGTCTGTGAAACAGTCGATAATGCTCATTACGCACCTCATAGGAATAGGAGAAAAACCCTTAACCCTATTCCACCATTCAATGAGATCATCACTGATCTAGGACTTAACTGCAGATACTCATCTTTGCCCCTCATCCATTAATACCTTTGGTTGCCGAAGATCTATTGAGGTCAGGTTTAAAGTTAACAATTGAGTATCATGCAAGAAGAGAGTTCTAAATTCATCTCAGTTCAAAATGGCCTACTCCGTAGGCTGTGTCTATCCTGTTCCAGACTCCCCAGCCAAGGGAAATCAGGTTTTGGCTACGTGTCAGCATTCCCAGCTCAGAGTCAGAACGTAGGAACAAATAACTGCAGTTGCTGAAATCTGCACCGAAAACAAAAAATGCTGGAAATCACATTAGGTCAGACAGCATCCGTGGCAAGAGAGCAAGCTTGCAACTCCTTCCAGATTCCGTGGCTGTGCACCATTCTCAAATGGGGATCACATAAAATACCAAAATCACCAACAGTTGTTTTTAAAATATGTCTGAACAATCATAGCGTAGCGACCTCTCTCCTTTGAGTAAAAACGTTGTGGGTTCAAAACTCGCCCTGGAGAGTTGAGCACAAATGTTTAATTGGCAACTCCAGTGCAGTACTATGGTCGTTCTGCTGCTGAAGCCAGGCATAAAAGATCCAATGACTAGATTTTAAAGAGGACCAGGACAGTTCTGTCCAGTGTCCTGCCTTAAATCTGTTCCTCGTTCAATGCCATTAAAGCAGATTATCAGGTCATTATCTCTGTTAATGTTTACGTGCAAATTGCCTGTCATCTTTTCATGACTGTGATCTTTGGTGGTGGGAGGATGCTGCCATGAACCCTCTGTCCTTGACTGTATCTAAAGCCTTGTTTGGTTTACAGTCATAAAACATCAACCACAACTGAATCTGAACAATAAGAGGCTCTTGTCTTTAAAAATGTAGTTTATTACATGATAACAACTAAGTACAATCCACATTACAAACATAGACATTGTCACAAAGGAACTAGTAAATGTATGACGCTGCAGCCTTCAGGACATCTTTATTAATGTTAGGGCCTGAGCACCCTCTCCCATGTCCTTACCCCACTAGGTGTTACCCTCACACAGGCTGCTACCACAAACAACCCAATGGTCCCCATTAGCAGCTACTGATTCTGTCAGGCTGACCATAACCCATTCCTCTTGTCTGCACAGTCATTGTTATCTCTTTCTCTCTCTCTCTCTCTCTCGCTGGGCTACATCTCCACCCTCCTCCTCCTAACGTTCCACACCCCATCTTGCGTATGTATACCAAGCTTTTCCGAGCTGCAATCAGTTCTGAAGAAGGCTCGCTGGACCTGAAAAATGAATTGTAATTTGTCTCCCACAGATGCTGCCAAATCTGCCAAATTTTTCCAGCAATTCCTGTTTTGTTTCTGATTTCCAGCATCCACAGTTCTTTGATTTTAATGTTTGTGCGTATGAATCTTCACTGTGTGAGATTCTAATATTTCTGTCTCGTCCACCAACTGAGCTGGTATAACCTCCATCAGATCTTAATGGATATCTGACATTAACCCTTTCATAACCATTAGATCATATAACAAATACAACAGTAACTACACTTCAAAAGTATTTCATGGGGTTTGAAGGGCTATGGGTCATCCCTTCATGAACGTTGATGTAGAAATACAAGCCTTTGTTCCTTATGAATTTGTATTCGATTTAAACAAGCATTCTCATACATGCAGCCATCTATCATTGACATTTTTGGTTAATGCTCACACAGGTTGGGTTGTCGGCTCTCTGGAAATTCTTGGAAGTCCTGCTAATTTGGTGCGAAGTATTGGTAATGGGATAGCAGACTTCTTCAGACTCCCATATGAGGGACTGACCCGTGGTCCAGGCGCTTTTGTCAGTGGAGTCTCCAGGGGAACAACTTCATTTGTCAAACATATTTCAAAAGGTAAATGTTATTTTTCTTTCTTTCATCAAAAGCCACATTCTAACTTGGGACATGTGGCAGCCATGTTACTTTGATATGTTGCAATATTGCCTCAGAAGTGAGAAACTGGAAACTTCTGTTTGGCCCTTTGGGCAAATAAAGAAAGCCAAACTGTATGGCTTCTAAAATGGACATTGTCTTGATTAAAAAAAAGTGAATCTTGTAAAATGAGTCATCAATTCTTAACCTTCTGAAGAAGGGTCCAGACCCAAAACGTCAGCTTTCCTGCTCCTCTGATGTTGCCTGGCCTGCTGCATTCCTCCAGCTCCACACCTTGTTATCTCAGACTCCGGCATCGGCAGTCCCTACTATCTCATCAATTCTTTATATGTTTTAAAATGTTAGTATGTTTTCTGCCATGAAGGAAATGATGCTGGCTCACCATCTGTGTTCAAGAGCCATGAAAAGATTGTCCTTCCAGCAGTAGTATACCTTTACATGAATGACAACAAGGCCTGTCACCCTGTCGCAAGAAGGAAGGAAGGAGTGGTTTGCGGGATTAGAAGGAGAACATTCCGCACCTCAAGCTCAATCCACTATTCTATGAGATTGTGCTGATCCATATTCTAAACCCACCCACTCACCTTCACTCTCTATCTCTTCATAAGTACCCTTAACCAGGCAGGCATTCCTCGATCTCAATTTTGAAATTTTGGAGAGCTCCATCTTTCTGCTATCATCTATAAAGAGTTGCTTCTTGGCTACGCACTTAAATGGTTTAGCTCCAACTTTAAGGTTGTGCTCCCTTGTCCTGGGCGCTCTCACTGAGGAAATAATCTTGCTACATCTATTCCATCAACTCCTGCCCTGATTTTAAACACCTTAATGAGATTGTCCCTTAATCTGCAAAGCTTGGTTAAAGTGTTTGGGCGAAACTAAACTGAGGAATAATGGGTGGATTTTGGAATAATTTTTGAAAGTAATGTGTATTGGAAATTTGCACTTTTGAAGAACAAAGGAATGGAAATTGTGGCCTGGATTTACGCTCCTGAGTTGGGCCCACTGTCCCAAGACCAGGAGGTAGCAGCAGAGTCTGCCAGTATGGAGGACGTCTGTCTAAAAGACTGATCCCAATGCTCCTGTGTTTGTTCCAGTAAAAAAAATCAAAAAGAAAGCAGTTCTTTTGGCCTTACATCTCATAATCTTGCTTTGACCCATCCACACCAACCATGCCACCTCATAACCCACTCCCACAGTTCTTCATGCCCTCCATGTGCACCTTAACCCATCTCTTGGCCTCTCATAGCTTATGCCAATCTAGTGTATCTATCCATCTCCAGTGGGTTCATCATATCCCCTGTACCAGACTTCCATGGTGCTTTATAGCAACTCAGTGTAAACTTCCTAAGATGTGGAAGCAAAGGTAGGCTATTTGACCGATTGAATCTCCTCTGCCATTCAGTGAGATCATGGATGATCTGATAAACCTGAATTCTCCTTTCCTTGACAACCCTTGATTCCTGTAGCAATTAAAAATCTGTCGATTTCAGCCTTGAATATACTTAATAACCCAGCCTGAACAGTCCTCTGTGGTAACAAGTTCCGCAGATTGACCAACCTTTGAGGGAAAAAATTCATCCTCGTCTCTGTCTTAAATGGACAACGCCTTGTACTGAAATTATGCTGACTGGTCTTAGGCTCTCCAACAGGAGGAAACAACCTCTCAGCAGCTACCCTGTCAAGTCTCCTTAGAATCCCATAAAAGTTTTTGAACTCCAATGAATACATGCCCAATTTGCTCTTGTCATAAGTAAATCCCTCCATATCAGGGATCAACCTTGTGAGCCTTCTCTGGAATGCTTCCCATACCAATATATCTTTCCTTCTTGCTTGGACAAGGGGATAAAAACTGTTCACAGTATTTCAGCTAAGGTCTGACCAGTGCTTTTTATAACTTTAGCAAACCATCCCTACTTTTATATTCCATTCACTTTGAAATGAAGACCAACATTCCATTTGCCTTCCCTATTACCTGCTAACTTGGATGCCAGCTTATTGTGAGTCATGCATGAGGTCTCCCATATTCCTGTGTGATCTCCATTGAAATAATATTTAACTTGGGAATTCTTTCTGCTAAATCTTACATTTCCTAGTAGTCCATGCCGTCCATGTTCCCAAACTAAACTAATTCCACCTGCGTGCGCTTGGCCCATACCTCTCCAAACCTTTCCTATTCATTAACTTAACCAAATGTCTTTTAAATATTGTAACTGCACCTGCACCCACCATTTTCTCTGGCAGTTCATTCCACACACAAACCACTCTCTGCACGCACCCCCATATCCTTTTTGAACCTTCCTCCCCTCACCTTAAAATATGCCCCTCATGATTTTATAAACCTCAATAACGTCACCCTTCAATGTCCTGCACTCCAGTGAAAAAAGTCTCAGTCTTTCCAGTCTATTTTTATTATCTCAAACCCTCCATTCCCAGTGACATCATTAATCTTTTCTAAACCCAGTCCAGTTTGATAATATCCTTTCTATAAGCAAGATTGTTTTTAAAAAAAACATTATTTATATAATTTATTTTCTCAACTTCTGGATGTTCCAAAGTGTTTTAAAGCCAGTAATGTGCTGTTGAATTGGACGCCCTGTTCTCATATAGAAAGTAAAGCAACAATTTGCACACAGCAAACTGTCACAATTATGATTCAGGTCATTTTTTATGATGTCAATTGGAGAATGATTACACACCTGCTTTTTTTCGTAAATGTATGATGGCATTTCTTATGTCCTAGTTACATACTTTGTTTAAAAAAAAACACCTCCACAGTGAGTCACTGTTTACTGTATTTCTGTTCAGGTACCCTGACGTCGATCACTAATCTGGCTACGAGTTTAGCTCGGAACATGGATCGACTCTCTCTAGATGAAGAGCACTATAATCGACAGGAGGAATGGCGAAGGCAACTTCCAGACAGCCTGGGGGAAGGTCTGCGGCAGGGATTGTCCCGGCTCGGACTCAGTCTGCTTGGTATGGCAATATTAACCAGTTTGATATTGAATCTAAAATTTAAACGGAAATCTCAAGAGCTCATCAGAGTAAATTCTGGAGATAGGGCTCTAAACTATGTGCATGCACCACTTTTGAATCTGTACAGTATTAGAGGGCTAATAACCCCATCACTGAAGACCATGTGTTATAAAATAGACTGTGGTTCACTGATGGCTCTTTAATGTAAGTCCCATTATTGATGACTGTAAATGTGTCTACGATGTATTGACCGTTTATGTTGAAGCACTTCAGCTATGTTTACACAGTTTTAAGTTTTGTGTAAACCTTGAAGAAAATCAGTTAATAATGAAGGATACCAGACCCCAGCCTACCCTGAAATGATTCTGCTTTCTTCAGGGAAATGAATCTATTAATCTCAATAAGATATTACAGTTCTGTTCCCTTGATTTAGTTACAGAACAGATTTAGATGATTGTGGCATGCTACAAGGTGCGGCATATTTGGTGCACCCGGAGGAGAATTTATCTGGGAAAAGTACCTACGTTTCCCATTTTTATTAGAAAGCTTTTCTGCATCAAAATCTATTTTGCAAAAATCCTTCTTCAACCACGTTTGATATTTGATTTTTGTTTTGTTTCATTCGGGAGGGTTTGTGATCAGCAAGCGGCAGACAACATTACATGAAGCTCTCTCAATCCTTTGCCAATTGTTTATTTGAATTTTTCTTTAAGATAGATCGCTAATGTGCTGCGTTTCTCCCATTCTCGTCAGTTTGGTAAAATGTAAAGCTGATTTCCTCTGTGTTCTTCAGACACCGTCATTACATAGAGAGAATGGTATTGTACTCATTTATTTTGATAATGGGCAGCTCAGGCAGTCAAAGAAAATCACTATGATATTTAGGCTGTCTAGACTAAGAGGTATTAAAAAATGAGACATTAAAGTATCCTGAATTCTTGAACGGACTGGTATGTACTGGGATGCAAATGAGAATGTGGACTGCAAAGTTATGCAACTGAGCACTATGTACATCAAATAAGATTCTATGGAAATAAGAAATCTGACCTTCAGTAAAAATGTGCTGTGTGAATGAATAGGATAGGATTGATTAATAAATTATAATAAGAAGAACCATAGTTTGTTAGCATTGATTTTCTAATAACAGAGTGTGAGGGTGGAATAAACTTGTATTTTCTTCTCGAAACATAGAAAGCATCAGAAATGTATGGCACAGGATCATTCAGCCCCTCATGTTTGTGCCAGCTGGGAAAGTGCTAACCGGCCTGTTCAGTTCTTGGTTTGTAACCCTATAAGTTACAGCACTTCAAGAGAACATTCCAAGCTTTTATTTATAAATTGCCTTGAAGTTTGAAGCTTCTGCCACCATTTCAGGCAATGTATTGTCGATATATGCCCATGCTTTGAGTGGAGAAAAAAAAGTCTCCTCAACTCACCTCTAACTCTTTTGCCAATTTGTGTACTGCCTCCTACTGGGCCCTCTACAATTGGAAATAAGTGTTTCCTATTGACTTCATCTAGTCCTCCCATAATTTTATACACCCTTACTAAACCTCCCCTCAACTTCTTCTCTTGCATGGAAACAACTCCAGCCTATTTAGTCCTTACACACAGTTAAAATTCTTCTGTCCTGGAAATGCCCTAGCAAATCTCTGGACCATCTGTAGTGCAATTGCATCTTTCCTGTAAAATGATCATGGAGCTAGCCCTAGCTATAATGTAACCAGTTTCTTATATAGCTTTAGCATAGCATCTCTATTCTATGCCTTGACTAAGAAAGGAAGGTATGTAAATGCCTTTGTAACCACATTATCTACATGTCCTGCTGCTTTAAAGGATCTGTGGACATGCACTCCTTTGTTCCTCTACACTTTTCAGTATTCTTTCTCGACCCCCGCAAATGCGTCACCTCACATTTCTCCAGATTGTACTTTATTTGCCACTTTTCTACCCACCTGATCATCCAGTGATTGCTTCCTACAGCGAACAGCTATCCCCCTCACTGTCAAACACACAACTGACCTTGTAGCAACCAACTACTCAAACGTTTGAGTCTAAATCATTGATATATAACATACGCAGCATGGGACATTGCTGAACCCTTTACAACCTCATTGTTAAGGAGGCATGGAATAGGGGGAAATGTGGCAGATTGGATTCAGAATTGGCTGACCCTTAGAAGACAAAGGGTGGTAGTGGATGGAAAATATTCAACATGGTGCTCAGTTACGAGTGGTGTACCACAAGGATCTGTTGTGGGTCCTCTTCTATTTGTGATTTTTGTAAATGAGTTGGATGAAGGAGTGGAAGGGTAGATTAGCAAGTTCGCAGATGATATGAAGGTGGGTCACATTGTGGACAGTGCGGAGGGCTGTTCTAGGTTACAAAGGGACATTGATAGAATGCAGAGCTGGGCTGAGAAGTGGCAGATGGAGTTTAACCCTGAAAAGTGTGAGGTGATTCATTTTGGAAGGACAAACTTGAAAGCAGAATACAGGGTTAACGGAAAGATTTTTGGCAGTGTGGAGGAGCAGAGGGATCTTGGGGTTCATGTTCACAGTTCCCTGAAAGCTGCCACCCAGGTGGATAGAGTTGTTAAGAAGGCGTATGGTGTGTTAGCTTTCATTAATAGATGGATTGAGTTCAAGAGCCGTGAAGTTACGCTCCAGCTATACAAAAGCCTGGTTCGGCCACATCTGGAGTATTGTGTCCAGTTCTGGTCACCTCATTACAGGAAAGATGTGGAAGCATTGGAAAAGGTGCAGAGGAGATTTACCAGGATGTTGCCTGGAACGGAGGGAAGGTCTTATGAGGAAATGTTGAGAGAGCTAGGGCTTTTCTCTTTAGAACGACGAAGGATGAGAGGTGACTTGATAGAGGTGTACAAAATGATCAGAGGTATAGATAGAGTAGACAGCCAGAGACTTTTTCCTAGGGTGGAGGTAGCTTTTACGAGGGGACATAGTTTTAAAGTGAAAGGAGGTAGATATTGGGGAGACATCAGAGGTAGATTCTTTACTCAGAGAGTGGTGGGGGCGTGGAATGCATTGCCGGAGAGGGTAGTGGAGTCGGCCTCATTAGGGGCAGTTAAGCGGCTATTAGACAGGCATATGGATGATAGTATAAGGTAGCGGTGGAGGTTAGATAGACCTTAAGTTTTGGGTAAAAGCTCGGCACAACATCTTGGGCCGAAGGGCCTGTACTGTGCTGTACTGTTCTATGTTCTGTGTTCTATGTTCTTAAACACTCATTGACCATTACCATTTGTTTCCTGCTACTGTGCTAATTTTGAATCCAGTTTCTTCTGTTGACATGGGATTAAATTACAAACCCTATTAGTGTTTGTTGCTCTGGATACTGTCTTTGTAATTATTGCAGATTTTTCTATATACCAGTCAATTTCTGGTGACGATACATGAGTGGAGCCAAAACCAACTGCCACCTTTAGTTGCAGTAGAATTGGAATGCCAGAGAGGGGCGGTAATTAGACCAGAGTGTGTTGATGTAATCTTGTTGGCATTTTATGGGAGTAATTTTAGCAACCTGCCCAATGGGACACTCATGACATTGGAACAGCCACTTGATTTATCTCCTTCTGACTGATTCACTACCCGATTTGCACAGTGAAACAGTGAGAAGTAAAATGCCATCGCAGTATAGCAAGGTTAGGTTAAAATACTGCTGTGCATTCATTCAGCCCTATGTGTTGATTCTATACTTGTGCAGATTATAGTTATGTAACAAGTATGTAGCTTTGCAGTTTGGGAAGCAGAGGACTGGAATTATATGAAGAAATGGACACTTCACCGCAGCACAGGCTAAAGAACTGCAAAGCTGAGGTAGTGCAATGTCGCTCCATAATTAGTGAATAAATCTGCATGTTTCCATTGTAAATGTGGATATAAGAATTTATAATGATGGAGAAAAGTGAACACATCAAAAATTTTTAGTATAAAATATCTAATAAAGGTAATTATTTTTTAAAGCGACGAAGGTTATGGAGAAATGTAATAGAAGTGTGCAGAATCTTGTTAATAAAGTAACTATGGAGAAGCTATTTGCACTCATCAGAATGTCAGTAACCAGAGAACACAGTTAAGAGCCAGAAGGGAGGTCAGAATTTTGTTTTTGAAGCAGTGAAACTGTTGTGATCTGGAATGCACTGCCTGAAAAGGTGGTGGAAGTGGTTCCTATGGTAATTTTTCAAAGGGCATTGGATAAATACTTTTAAAGGAGGAAACTATGTAGCACTTTAGGGAAGGAATGAGGCCTGAGGGACTAATGGAATAGCACAGCCACAATGAGCTACCTGGGGCTCCTATTGTACTGTATGAATCTACAATTCTATATGAATTTCCTCGGTTTCTGCAAAGCCATTGCGTGTCCTCTGTGTGAGAAAGAAGGAAAGTAGCTGAGTAGGGACCAGTATTGTAAACTGATGCCTGTTACCATTGATTCAAGGATAACTTCCAAAATGCAAGCGTTTATGCATTTAAAAAGAAAATTTAGCAGGACCATGGTGCAAGTCTAAAGGATTGGGATTGATTGCTCTTTCAAAGGGACAGCATAGACACAGTGGACCCAATGGCCTCTTTCTCTGCTGTATAATTCCATGAAACTATTGGCTCTGCACAATATGCCTTCTGTGTAATGATAAAAAGCGAAATTGCTAGTGGAGAATCAGTATTTCTGGCTCAAAGAATCTATCTCTCACAACAAAAGGAATAATATGAAAAATGGTGGCAGACAGGGTTTTCCAAGGTATTTTGTTTTGAACAGAATAAAGATTTGGATCCTGTATCAATTCTGTCTGATATTCCCAGGTGCCATTGCTGGTATTGTGGATCAGCCGATGCAGAATTTCCAGAAGACGGTAGAGGTTTCAGCTGGGCGCAAAGCCAAAGATGTCATCTCTGGTGTGGGTAAAGGCATCGTGGGAGTTTTTACCAAGCCAATTGGAGGGGCAGCTGAGTTGGTCTCACAAACTGGTTATGGCAAGTACAACATCTTTGAACAGAACTATGCTTTCTTTAGCTTTTTCACGAATATGACCCTCTGTTAGTGACAGCAAAGTCTGAAAAGCAAAAGAATAGGAGCAGGATCAAGCCATTTAGCCCTTCCAGTCTCTTCAGCATTCAACAAGATCATGGCTGATCTTCTACTGAGCTCCACTTTGCAGCATTCTCCCACATGCCTTACTATTTTTTTTCTCTCTATTCGTTTGTGGGATGTGGGTGTCGCTGGCTAGGTCAGCATTTCTTGCCCTTCCCTAGTTGCCCTTGAGAAGATGGTGGTGAGCTGCCTTCTTGAATTCTACACTTGGTAACCTGCCTTCAATATAATCGGCAGATGCTTCACAGGAGGAGAAGTCCATAGATTCATACCACTTTTGAGTGCAGAAATTTCTCAATTTTGAGTCTTAAGTGGCTGGCCGCTTAGTCTGAGACTGTGGCCCCCTTTTGTAGATTGACAGCTAGAGGACCATTTTCTCAGCATCTACCCTGTGAAATGTCTTTAGAATTTTACATGTTTTCACCTCCGATTCTTCTGAAGTCCAGGGAATTAAGGCATTCTCAATCTCTCCTCCAGGCCAGTAGATTATTTTTGGTGTCCCTTTAGGGCAACTCATGGTGTTCCTCAGGTAAAGTAACAAAAGTACTCGCAGTACTCCAGGTATGACCTCGCCAGTGCACTTTATAATTGCAGCGAGACTTCTTTATTCTTGTACTCTAATCCCTTTATAACAAGTCACTCCCTAAACTCAGCACTCTTCCACATTTTCAAATGTGAGCTTATGGTGTCTTCATGTTATTGCCTTGATAGGGCCTGCTAAGTAATGGCTAAGCCCAAATATCACTGACACAGGAAGCGCAATAACTAAAGGCTTGCAGGACGACCAAAGTATTGCTGTGGTCTTCTTTAAACATCAACAAGTGAAAAGGTGTTCAATCATTCACTCTCTTCCTCTCCTGGGATGTGGTCCCTAAATATAGCACTGGAGTGGCAGTCCTGATATTTTGGCTCAAACTCTGGGGTGGAGCTCAAACCTTCAAACTTCTGGCTCCAAAGGTGAGCGTTGTGAATACTCTGACATATCCACTTGCAGGTTGACATAACCTGGAGTGCTGAGCCTGTCTGATGATGGGGAAAAAAACTCACTCTCTACACAAAACTCAGCCTCCACATGTGTTTTGAATACTAAACTTATGTTTTTTATTTATTTTAATGGTACAACTCTGTTGATTTAGCTTAAAGATTAGCTTGCAACTATAATAAGTAATGGATATATTTTATTTCGGAAGAGAGATTGTTTCTCGTAACGATGTTGCTCCGAAACACTATCCAATGGAAATGATCATACTTGAATGTTGAGCTAATATAGTTATCGTATATAGGAATTGCCCATTGTTTCTGCATTAGTTTCAAACGGGATACTGGTTCTATTATTTTAGACCAAACCAGAGCTTTTCCTTCGTGTTTATGAGACTAACTTAAAATATTTCAATTTTTGTCACTTTTATATAGCTCTGCCTTTTACGTAATTGCAGTTAAAGAGATGAATATCCCTATCAATCTGTTCCAAACACATTACATCATTTCAGCACCATGAGCTGCTGGGTTAGTAGAAGTAAGAATCTTGTCTTTATTGCTCTAGGCATTTTACACGGGGCTGGACTTTCTCAACTTCCCAAGCAGAGGTTTCACCCCACTGAGCAACAGACTGACCAGGCCCCAAACAGCCACATCAAATATGTCTGGTAAGAGTATTCTGGCAGTCAGTCACTTTTATGATGACATTATTCATTACATTGCTCTGGCTTTGTATCAAACTAACAGGT